AAATTTCTGAAGTTTGAAAACAAGTAAACAAGGCAAGACAAACTATAATAGGGAAAGAGGAAGTTCTCTCTGAGCCAACCTTCATGTGGGCATCTTGGGATTCCAATTATAGCCTGTACCCCAGACATCACTCAACCACAACAATGTACTGCATCTGTTTTAAAACCATCATGTTAGTCCCAAGGACATCACTAGCTACAATTTTCTTTTGGAGGGCAGTTTCTGTGAACATTAGGGAAAACTCTGAAGGCTTCATACAGCAGAGATGACTTTCCCAAAGAAACAGACCCTGGTGGCTTGAACCTGGCTACCTCAACCATTCAATGGCAGCCTTTGATGGGGTAAGTCAAAGGGAACTTTTTTGTAATACAGTGGTACCTCGGGTTAAGACCTTAATTCGTTCTGGACGTCTGTTCTTAACCTGAAACTGTTCTTAACCTGAAGCACCACTTTAGCTAATGGGGCCTCCTGCTGCCGCTGCTCCGCCGCTGCACGATTTCTGTTCTCATCCTGAAGTAAAGTTCTGAACCCGAGGTACTATTTCTGGGTGAGCGGAGTCTGTAACCTGAAGCGTATGTAACCTGAAGCGTATGTAACCTGAGGTACCACTGTAGGCTTGAGCATAAATACTAGTATTTTCATTTGAGTTCTGGTTTCTCGCATTGATTACGGCTTCCTGCTTTAAGGCTTGCTTATTGCCATCTGCCTGCTGAGCATAAGAGAGACTGGAGAGTAACTGGAAAAACAGCCTTCTCAGCTTGGCACTGCTGCAAGAAAAGCAGTTGGAACTTTTCTAGCATCCAGTGCTCAGCTGGGGGTGGAGTATGCAAGGTCTAGGTGGCTCCCTGATCCTTTGCAGCTTTGGAAATGTTCAGGGAAGCACCTAGCAACCTTCTAGCTGCTCTGATAGTCCCTGCTTGGCAGAAACAGCACCAAACCTTTCAAACAGCAGCAGCATCTGTAGGAGAGCAATCAAAGGCTCTCTAAAGCCCTGTGTTCACCTAGGAAAAAGGTGGGCAGTCCTCTCCTCCCCCCTTGGCTGTGGCTTTGGAAATAATGGAGAACATCCTAAAATCCACCTAGCTTCTCTGAAGCATACAACCTTGCAATGCACCAAATATTTTGGCTCTGTAGCAGCAGAGCTGGGTGTTTTTTTTGCTGAGGAGGATGGGAAATTCTCCTGGCATCCCCATAGTTTCTCTGTAACTGGTTTCTGAGCTGGGATAAATGCAAGCTATTTAGACTATTGCAGATAGTGCAGAGGTTGAGGGAGTAGCCAGTGTCTTTCTGAAGCTCATTGATGAGCTCAGGAAGGCTTCAGCTCAGCCGTGCCTTTGGGAACAATCATGGGGTAAGCTCCTAGGATCTGCTAGGATCCCAGTGTTCAGCGGAGGGTCATGCAAGCCATTTGGATCTACAGCAGCTATACCCGAGCTATAACACGCTAGCTGGTGGTCACCTTGGGAAGTGTTGGGCCCACACTCAGCTGCAAATTTGCAGAGGCTAAGAACTACTACTGGGGTCATACCCTTCTCTTCTCAAAAGCTCTGTGCTAAGCTGGGTTGAAAAAGCTTTCAAGCTAAGCATTGGGCTTCAAAGAAGGGCACCATCCAACTCATGGGCTGGTAGGAAGACTGTAGGAGAGCTGGGGTATCCAGCCTCCTTGAAATCAAATACTCAGCTAGGAGAGCTGTGTGTCTCCTGGATTCAGTAAAGGCAGAGATTGCAGAAAGGGCACTTGAAGTACAGCCTGCAATGCTACTGGCAGGTACGCAAGATCTGAGCTCAGTAGTAACTTTCAGTAAATCTCTAAGGTAGCAACCAGCTTCTTTCCTTCACCACAGTTAATGGAAGCTCAGCCTTCAGCTGGAATATGTGCCACCCTTTCCATTCAGCCCAGTGAAGAGCACTAGGTGCTCCTTACACCTCTCCCCAAAGCACTGCTTTTGGATAGGCCTTAAGCTAACTTTGCAAAAGCTGGGAAAGTGCAGAGAGGTTTTCCACACCTCCAGTCCCACCATGCAGCTGGGATAGTCGCATGCAACTCAGGTTGCTGCAGGTAAAAAAACCCCATTCTCCCTGGATCTTGCCAATGAAACTCAGGAGTGAGAGCCCAGCATTTATTAGTTTGTGCAAACTAACTGATTCAGCAGGATATTTCCCAAAATCTGAACACTGGGCGTTGTCCAGTAAGACTTTTTATAGGATTTACACGCAACGAATACATACAGAGCCCCCAAACAGCTGCAGAGGATAGCTGGCAAAAAACCATTGAATATCACTTTCCCTGCCTGCACCTTGATGTGCCAGCCCTTGGTAGGCCCTTTGTTGCTTACTAAAAAATGCTTGCATAGACAAAGTTCTGAAGCCTACATGCCTACTAAGAGGGAGTTGTAGCCTTTATTTAGCTAGCATAGCTGGTTCACTCCCAAATGCTGCCCTTATCCTATCTTTTGGTGTCTCCAGCAACGAAGCAGCAAATTCGGCTGTTTGTGTCTCTTATGGACAAAAGGGAGCTTTTGTGAGCCAAGGGGTTTTAACAGAACCCCAGTGTCTCATTAAAGGGGCTCTTTTACAAAAAGCCCCAAATTCCCTCCAATGCCTCAAGGTGAACTCCACCTGAGATTCCCCCAGCTCAGAAACCTATTGCTTTGCAAAGAGAGCAATTCAGGGTGTCCTAGGGATACAGGAAGCAGCCTTATACTGAGTCAGACCACTTAGTCCACCTAGCTCAGTATTGCCTACACTGACTGGCAAAGGCTTTCAGCCCAGAAGTGTATTCAGTCCTATCTGGGGATTCTCTCGATTGAGTCTGGGATGCTTATCTGAGAGATATGAATGGCATCAGGAAGGCCAAGAGGAGCAACTGGTCACGTCTCAGCCTCCCCAAAGCTTGGCAAACTCAGCCAAGCCTTCAGCACCATCCCTGAAACGGTTGTGGAACATCTGAGCTCTGTAACTCACTCAGTAACCCCAGAGATTTAATACTTAGCTAGGAGGTGAGCAAGCATCACAGCCAAGTCCCTTCTTTGGGAAGGTTTTTGCTGGTCCTCTGGGGCCAAAGACAGCAGAGGGAACTGTGCACAGTTCTTCCAAGCATGTGACTGCTAAGTGAGCAAGATACTGCTCACCGAAATAAATTGCAGTAGTACAGCATAAAAAGTGTTTTAAAATCCCTTCGTACATTGCATGGGAGAGTTTGGGGATGAAGAAAGTGTGCCTCTTGGGACACATCTCCAGACCTTTGTTTTATCCACACAATGTAAAGAAATATTGTCTCTGTGTATATGTTTTGAAGGAAAATATATTCTGAGATCCCTGTGACTGTCAAAGCTCAAGGACTTGTATTATTACTATGCTGCGAGCCTGTTTAGAAGTAAATACATGGGGACAGACTTTGAGAGAAGAGAGAATGTATTAGGAGCAGGACTTTTTTTTTCAGCTGGAACTCAGTTCTGGCACCTCTCAGGTGGGTGCCATTGCCATTCTAAGAAAACAAGTTCTGGCACCTCTTTTTAAAAAATAAAAATAGCACTGATTAGGAGTATTAGATAAGCTCATTCTGATTGCTCTGGCCGATAGCAGACTCGGATTGGCTGCAGGTTATAAAGTGAGGAGTTAATTTCTGCAGTTGAGCTAGAGGGAAATGAGTTGAAAAGAGAGGTGTGAGGAAAAGACCCGAGGAAAGCTGAGGCCTGGATATTAATACTTATCTGGTGGAGATCAGCAGAAGGGAGCCAGGGGCTGAGTTTGTTTCAGAGGCTGCACTATGCCAAGCTCTTACTAGATGAAGATTACAAAGCAACTGCATCTGCCTGCTGTGATTAGGAAGGGGGTCCAGTGCCAATTTTAAATGTGTGTGTTTTTACAACTGCAGAATGAGTGTAATAGTGCTGATTCTGTAGGTCAGGCGGGCGCATGTGGCGTAAGGCAATCTTGTGAGTAAATAAACCCAAGGATTGTGGACATAGATGGCTGGGGTGGAGGTTTAGGGGATGTCAGCAACAGAATCGCTTGAGTCTTTATTCTGTTGAGGCATGGGCAGAGTGCAGTTAGCACAGCAAGCAAAATGTGCAATTGAACCCAGGACATTGTTTGCAGAAAAAAATACGCCAGACAGTTCAGTAAGGTCAGCAACAGTGTATTTTACTGACAGCTAAAAGAACAACTATGTACAAGTATAAAGTGATCCTGCCTCTGTCTGCCTCTCAGAATAGAGCAACTAAAGTCTTTCCAGGAAAAACACTTTCTGCCAGAGATCCAACACAGGAATACTACCTTCCAGCAAGTCACACTACTTGTTACAAACACAAGGCTAGTTATACTCTCTCATGTGCTGTGTCATTTGCGGCACAGGTTCCTTGAGCTCATGACCTCGAGCTGTAGATGCAAGCATTTACACTTAATCAGCCATGACTTGGCTTTTCATCTGCAGGCATAAATTTATGAACTCCAACATTCCAACATCAAGCACCTTTAAGACCCCAGTGTAAGCATCAGTCTTCCCTGATGTACACAACATCTCCTTTCATAAGCCAACAACCTTGGCTAAAAGCTCATCATGTAAAGAGTGAGGGTTCCCATCTCATGCCTAAATCCCCACTACCAGCTACTAGGAAGTTCTCAAACATTCCGAGTGAATAGGTGGCATTGGAAAATTGAAGAAGCACAAATACTTAAGCATGGTGAGGCTGAGGAAACTGGCTTTCCCATTGCACATGCACAATCCAGGGTGTTTTAGCCCACTAGAGACTTTACCTGTGTGTAGCTGGAAGGGTTTTCAAGAGGCTGATGGGTTAGAATCAGAGGAGCACTTTGTCTACAAACCTTATCATTCTTTCTTTGAGCATGAAGGGGGTCATAATTCTCTAAATAAAAAACATTCTGTGAACATTCTTAGTCCTCTTTGGAGTGGGGGTGGTTGCTATTTCAGTCCTTTTTTGGTTTTTTGTTTGTTTATCACCTGAGTGAGATTTCTCTTTATAGCTGGGAGTGTCAACATGGTCTGTGGACACTTCAAACTCACTGCCCTCCTGGATGGTCCGCTAGAAAGAAAATAGAAAGATTATATACTCTTAATACACATTAAAAGTAGCCAGTGTGGTGCCCTTCAGATGTTGTTAGGCCCCAGTTCTCATCATTCCCAGCCGACATGCCCAGTGGTGGGATTCGTAATCTGGCAATATCTGAAAGGTACTACATTCTTTGCTTTGTCCTACATGCCCAAAGTCATGAGAAAAGCTTTGACAATCCTGTGAGGCCGACCAAGCTTCCCCTACTCCCCGCCCCATATTCCATATTAACAATGAAGACCAAGAAGCAGTTGAGCAGTTGAGAACTAAAAACAGAAATACAGTGGTACCTCGGGTTACATACGCTTCAGGTTACATACGCTTCAGGTTACAGACTCTGCTAACCCAGAAATATTACCTCAGGTTAAGAACTTTGCTTCAGGATGAGAACAGAAATCGTGCTCCGGTGGCGCGGCAGCAGCAGGAGGCCCCATTAGCTAAAGTGCTACCTCAGGTTAAGAACAGTTTCAGGTTAAGAACGGACCTCCGGAACGAATTAAGTACTTAACCCGAGGTACCACTGTAAGGTGATACCTCAGGACCCTGAAACATGCCTCTTGTAGTCAAAAAAACAGCATCAGAATAACTCATCTCAGCAATAGCACACATACGTTAATGTTTCTTTCTCTACAAAACAATAGTTCATTACCTTTCAGATAACCAATCTCAGCTGAAGATTTTACATCTTCCAAAAACACTCTATCCTTTTGTTTTTCTTCTCTCCCACAGTTTCTCCAGGTGCCCCCACCGTTTTCCCACTTATTCCGTCTTCTAAGTGCATTGCAAATGATGCAAGAATCACCGTAGGGTGTTTGGCCAAGGGTTTCCCTGACCCAGTCACTTTCTCCTGGAGCAATGCCACTGGCAGGACCTTCGAGATTAAGAAATTTCCTTCAATCTGGTCCTTCAATGGGGCTTTCACCGTAAGCTCCCAGGCGGTTATTTCTGCTAATGCTTGGAGCAATTTCAACCCCTTCTATTGCACGGCTGCTCACAAAGCAACAACCAGGACAGCACAAGTGGTTCGTCAGCGTAAGTGAATTTATTTGTCTTTTCTTTCTTTCTTTCTTTCTTTCTTTCTTTCTTTCTTTCTTTCTTTCTTTCTTTCAAAAAACAACATTACCCAGCAGCCAACAGCAACACAAACCAGGAGATTAGCATCAAGTATGTATCTTGCATCCAATTAACTATCTAGTTCCTAAAGTGCTTTACAGCACATCATTTTATCTTCTTGACACAATGAACAATTATGTAAGTCCAGGTCAGAACTAAGACATTCCTGCATTGGATGTTTATTTATTTATTTCAAGGAGAGAAAGGAAAGGAGAGGATCTTGCCCTTGATTTAAGATGAGAAATAGTGTTTCTTTCCCCTTCCCCTTGTCCCATGTCTAGGAAGCATGGGTCCGAGCAATTTTCCTTTTCCCAGACAAAAACCGCTCTTCACTGCTGAATTGGCGCAAATGTCAAACCAACAAAAACCTGACTGATGTTTCCTCCTATTGAGCAACAAAGACTGGGTTTTCCTGGGGGAAAGCAGTGGGACAAGCAGAAGTTTGTATGAGCCCTGGCATATGATTACCCTGTAGCATGGGAAATGAACTCTTTACCTTCTCTGTTTTTACTCTTAAATTTGTTCTGAGGCTGCGCCCTGCCTCTGCAGGCTGAACCCAACTCACATTTGGTTTGCCTCAAATGAAGCCCTGCTCCAGTTGATTTAATGTGAACATGCTTCTCTAGAGTAGGCCAGGCACACAATCTGCTAGAAGACAATCTCATGAATTTGGTCTGCAGACCTCTCCACATAAGAATACCTCCAGTTGTATATCTTACCCTTGGGTTGCTGGATTCATCTGCGATGAAACAGTTACTTTGCACTGTTTTCCTTCCTTCTCAAGCACTGAACCCGGCCACTCCACCTAACATTATCATCAGCGCACCACGCCTAATGGATTTTGTGGGGTCCCCCTTAAATGCCACCATCACCTGCAATGCTATTAATCTGCACACTGAGAAAACCACGCTCCAGTGGCTGAGGGATGAAGCAGTTCTTGAATCGGATGGCCCCACTACCATTTCAACCTCAAAATGCAGTCACAGCCTGAGGAGTGAGCTAACAGTCACCAAGAGAGACTGGGACAATGGCAAGAAGTTTTCCTGCAACGTGTTCAATGAGAAATTCAATGGGATAAGGAACATCAGCAAACCCCTTATTTGTGGCAGTAAGTTGAAAATTCCATCCAGAAACTGGTTTGCCATTCCAACGCAACGGGGGCAGATCTAATCTTGTTCTCAGGAAGAAGCACTCAATATATTTGGTCACATTCTGGAAATATTTGTTGAGTAACACAGCAGAGATTGAGGTTTATTCACTAAAACTCATCTAGGAATTCATCAGAATCTATACATGCCTACAGGCTAAACCAGAGGTGGGCTTGCTCTAGAATACTGAGTTACCTTACCTAAACAGATTCTAGGGCAAGATCTGATGACACATACTGCAGAAACAGTATCCTTCAGCATATTCTAGGATACTGCTGGAGTAGATCCAAGCTTGGTTTTATTGTTACATGAGATATTATGGTAGTCATTGCCCCCATTTTTTTCTACTGAGCCAATGCTGACATTATTTTTATAGACGAAAAACAAACAAAATCTCCTTGTATTTTTTAAAAAATATTTCCCCTAGTGAAGGCTTTGTGTATTTGGGGTTTTACAAGGCACAGTGTAGAAACTCTAGATCTGGCAGATCAGAGGATCACTAAGGAAACAGACTTGTGCAGCAGCTGGCAAGGACCAAGGACTCCCATCTACAAGACCTTCTCTAATCTATATAGTGCACAGAAAGGATGGGGAAATTCTCAATTTTAGTTGGCCATAAAAATAGAACTCTTGTGTACTTTGGATTTTCAATCAGATATATGTTGGGGATTAAGAGCAAACAGGTTTTGAGGTGCCAATAGAAGTTGGTCTGCTGTGGAATTGAATGTTCTTCTTACTTCTTTTAAGATCTTCCTGTCCCTGTCAAGGTTGAGACCATCCAGCCTTCCTTTGCTGATATTTTCCAAACCAAAACAGCCATTCTGACCTGCAGAATTTCGAACATACCTGAGGACCAAGATCTTAAGGAGCTGAAAGTCACCTGGACACGAGCAGTTGATGGCACACCCCTAGAGACTATCCTTAAACCGTTCCAAGAACAAGAAAGCAGTGGGCTGCTATTCAAGGATGCAGTAGCTACAGTGAATGCAGATGAGTGGAACAAAGGGGAAACTTTCAAATGCAATATTATTCACCCAGCTTTATTTCCCTCAATGGAAGTCAGATCCCTGCGCAAGCCTCAAGGTAGGTGTCTATTTTACATCATCCTACAAAAATGGCTAACAACCCTCAATGTCACTTTTTTAAAGGACTTTGGCTTTACCAGACTCCAGAAGGCTCATAATAGTTTTGCTCTGCCCTAACAATAATTAAGTATAATTGGACAGGAAAATTGGCTTCCAGGTGGAAAGATCCAAATTAGAAACAGAATTGTTAGAACCCAAGACTAAGAATTTGTCAAGAATGTATAACTTGCTGCTGAAATGGAATACTCAAGATGAAACGGTAAAATCGGCTATGATTAAATGGGCACAGGACGTTGGATATAACATTATGTTTGCTGACTGGGAACAGTTATGGACCACAGGTATGAAATTTACGGCATGTAATGCCTTAAGAGAGAATATTATGAAAATGATATACAGGTGGTACATAACCCCAGTCAAGCTTGTGAAAATCTATCACTTGCCCGATAACAAATGTTGGAAATGTAAAGAAACTGAAGGTACATTTTTCACCTTTGGTGGACGTGCCCAAAGATTAAGGCATTCTGGGAAATGATATATAATGAATTAAAAAAGGTATTTAAGTATACCTTCCCTAAGAAACCAGAGGCCTTTCTCCTGGGCATAGCCGGCCAAATGGTGTTAAAAAAGGATAGAACTTTCTTTATGTACGCAACAACAGCAGCAAGAATACTCATCGCAAAGTGTTGGAAGACACAAGAACTTCCCAAACTGGAGGAATGGCAGATGAAACTTATGGACTATATGGAATTGGCGGAAATGACTGGTAGAATCCGTGACCAGGGAGAAGAGTTGATGGAGGAAGACTGGAAGAAATTCAAAGACTATCTTCAGAAACATTACAAAATTAAGGAATGTTAAAGGGATGTTGGACTGAAAGTAAGTGGTTTCCAGCTGCACAGGTTAAAGTTAATGATAGATTAAGATTAAAGATCAAGATTAAAGATGTTTAAAGAAATGGAAATTTGATACTAAGAGGGAAAATTTTAACGTTATATGATATTAAGATCAAGGATTAGGTTTAAAAAGTTGAAGTTATATATTTTAACATTTTATTAAATTAAAGATTGGGATTAAAAAAGTGGAAAAGAAACTGCAGGACAAATAATGTGGATTGGAATACAAAAGAGGGAGGTATGAGGAAGTCCAGAAAATAAGTAATTTAAAATTGGAAATGGAAAAGAGAGTTTGTTTTTAATTGTTATGCTTTTTGTTTTTTATTGTTGAGTTTTGTATTGTTTTTTTGTGTGTGTTGTTTTTTTTCTTTTGTTGTTTAAAACTTTAATAAAAATTATTTAAAAACAAAAAAAACAATAATTAAGTATAGATTTTTCCCAACCTGGTGGCCTCCCGCTATTCTGGACTAAAATCTCTAATGGAAATGAGTATTTGGTTACATATATCACCAGTCTTTTAGATATATATTTATTTTTAGCAATCTTTTCTTTTCTTTTCTTTTCTTTTCTTTTCTGTTTTTCTCTTTTTCTCTTTTTCTATTTTGTTATCTTTATTTGGTATTTGTTTGTATGGCATATATGTTTGTCAGCATATGAATAAACTGAAGAATTGTTAAAAAATAAAAATAAAATTTCTATCACCTTGGACTATTGGTCATGCAAACTATGGCAGCTATCTTTCATAGTCCAAAATATCAGGAGACTAGCAGTTGGTAATGGCTGATTTGATACCTGAGTCTAAGCCTTTGGCAGACCTAAAGATGTCTCCATTTCAATTGATTAAATTCCAGTTAGTACTTTTTTTGATCACACTTATTATTTTAATACTTCCTCTTATTTCTCTGGGTGCCTAATGAGATAGACCAAACTGAGTTACAATGGTGTGACTGAGGCCAACCAGTGTGAACTTTAAGAAATTCAAATGTGGGTTTCCAACTTCCAAAGCAAAAATATTTCACCACAGTTTCTGTTCGCAAATTTCAGGTCACACTAATCTGCAGCGTAGAAACTGTATTCATGGCCTTCAGTTTAGGGACAAGCTGTGCCCACGAAGACAAAGACAACCCACCAGCCATGTATTGTGTGGCATTTCATGTGCCTTTTTCAGACAGGCAACCAAAACAGAACAACAATTTAGCTCCTAGTAGGCTATCAAAAATCCTTGGTATTGTCCATGTGGCTTAATAGGTCATAAATGATACAAGACTGCTCTTAGAGTAGATGAAGCTCCCATTCTAAGCCCACCTCAGCAATGAAGAGATGATGTGTCTGCATTGGTTTAGTGGGAATGTGAACCATAGTCTCTCTGTTTCTCTTGTGCTCTTCCACTCTTTTTACGTACATGCACACACTGAGCAGTGGACCATGTCATCCCAGTCTTTAATAAAAATCCAGATTTAGAAAGCCATTGCATCTGGTCATCTTTGATCAATGTCCAGGTCACCTGATATAAGACTTCTACCATTCATCTTATGTCTTCATCTAACTCTCTCAAACCATACAAATGAGGTCATGCTTAAGAAAGGAAGGCAACAAGATACTTTTAAAACCATGCATTTGATATTCTCTTCATCCCCCCCCCTCCTTTAACCTTCCAGATGGCAACCCCTCTGCTCCACATATCTACATCCTTCCTCCTCCTTTGGATCAGCTGGCTCTGCAGGAAACAGCCACTGTCACTTGTTTGATGAAAGATTTCTCCCCTCCTGAGTTCTTTGTCAAATGGCTGCGGAATGATGAGCCCGTGGATGCTTCCAAATACTTCACCAGCACAGCCACCCAGGAGTCCAAGGCACCCAAGCGGTATTACGCCTATAGCATGCTGAACGTCAATGCAGAAGAGTGGAATTCTGGAACTACTTACACTTGCGTGGTGGGGCATGAGATGTTGCCCCTCCAGACATCTCAGAAGACCATAGACAAGAATACGGGTAAACCAACCATTGTCAACGTCTCCCTCTTGCTCTCCGACATCACCAGCAGTTGCCAATAGCCATTCTTGTCAAGCCTCCTGCACATCTTTCTCAGCTTCCTAATTCTGCCAGCACCTACTTTCCCTTCTTGTGTCTCCATTTGTTTAATTACTGGCCTTTTGGGGAGGAAAAGAGGGGTGTTGTACCCTGAACGTTGTAGAATTAACTGGCCTCATCTCTTTGAAGTAAAACAATAGTTTGAAATGAAGAAAGTTTATCAAAACATAAGAAGATAATTCTGTCTTGTGGTTAGAAATGGTGATAAGGGGGTTAATGTTAACCCCCAGTCACACAAACGTCAGATGAGGTCTCTACCCCCCTTTGAATTGGATGGGAAATTAAGCTTCCACCTACAGCATCTTCTCAGATATGATCTGGAATTTTCAGAGGGTGATAGAAGCAATAGACACCCAATCTTCCATGATTGTGCTTGCAGGACTTACTGTTTCCAGAAATCACTTGGTCCATTAGGTGCATCATGATGGAAGAATCTAGAGCTTCATTAACAAGCAGGGCATATACACATATAGCAATCAATCAATCAATCAATCAATCAATCAATGTTATGGTTGCTTTTGTTATCATTGACAATGGCTACTACCTACAATGGCTATGTTCCCCATTTGTGAACCCCTTATTTGTGGCAGTAAGTTGAAAATTCCATCAGGAAACTTGTTTGCCGTTCCAACGCAACAGGGACAGATCTAATCTTGTCCTCAGGAAGAAGCACTCAATATATTTGACTGCATTCTGGGAATATTTGTTGAGTAACACAGCAGAGATTCTAGTTTATTCACTAAAACTCATCTAGGATTTCATCAGAATCTATACATGCCTACAGGCTGAACCAGAGGTGGACTTGCTCTAGAATACTGAGTTATCTTACCTAAACAGATTCTAGGGCAAGGTCTGAAGTGAAGACACATACTGCAGAAACAGTATCCTTCAGCATATTCTAGGATACTGCTGGGGTAGGTCCAAACTTGGTTTTAGTGTTACATGAGATATTATGGTAGTCATTGCCCCCATTCTTTTCTACTGAGCCAATGCTGATATTATTTTTATAGACAAAAAACAAACAAAATCAGTGGATCACTAAGGAAACACACTTGTGCAGCAGCTGGCAAGGACTCCCATCTACAAGACCTTTTCCAATCTATATGGTGCACACAAAGGATGGAGAAATTCTCAATTTTAGTTGGCCATAAAAATAGAACTGTTTTAATTGTCTGTTTTAATGCGAGTCTTTTAGTTCTGACCCTCTTACAGTTGTTTTAACTGAATGTTTTTATTTGTTTTTAGTTTTTATCTGTTTTAATTATCAGTTTTGTTTTTTACCCACTTAATATTCTATTCTCTGACTGCTGGTCTATGACTGTAATAAACTGATTGATTGATTGAATCAGATATATGTTGGAGATTAAGAAAAAACAGGTTTTGAGGTGTCAGTAGAAGTTGGTCTGCTGTGGAACTGAATGCTCTTCTTCTTTTTTAGATCTCCTTGTCCCTGTCAAGGTTGAGACCATCCAGCCTTCCTTTGTTGATATTTTCCAAACCAAGATGGCCAATCTGACCTGCAGAATTTCGAACATACCTGAGGAGCAAGATCTTGAGGAGCTGAAAGTCACCTGGACACGAGCAGATGATGACACACCCCTAGAGACTATCCTTAAACCGTCCCAAGAACAAGAAAGCAGTGGTCTGCTATTCAAGGATGCAATAGCTACGGTGTGTGCAGATGAGTGGAACAAAGGGGAAACTTTCAAATGCAAAATTATTCACCCAGCTTTATTTCCCTCAATGGAAGTCAGATCCCTGCGCAAGCCTCAAGGTAGGTGTCTATTTTACATCATCCTACAAAAATGGCTAACAACGCTCAATGTCACCTTATTAGGACTTTGGCTTTACCAGACTCCAGAAGGCTCAGAATAGTTTTGTTCTGCCCTAACAATCATTAAGTATAGATTTTTCCCAAACTGGTAGCCTCCAGCGATTCTGGACTAAAATTTCTATCATCTTTGACTATTGGTCATGCTAACTAGGGCAGATATGTTTCAGAGTCCAAAATATCAGGAGAGTAGCATTTTGGGAATGGCTGATTTGATACCCGAATCTAAGCCTATGGCAGACGTAAAGATGTCTCCATTTCAGTTGATTTAATTTCAGTTAGTACTTCTTTTGCTCATACTTATTATTTTAATAGTTCCTTTTAATGCACTGGATGTCTAATGAGGTAGACCAAAATGAGTTACAATGGTGTGACTGAGGCCAACCAGTGTGAACTTTAAGAGATTCAAATGTGGGTTTCCAACTTCCAAAGCAAAAATATTTCACCACTTAGTTTCAGTTCACAAATTTCAGGTCACACCAACCTGCAGCATAGAAACTGTATTCATGGCCTTCAGTTTAGGGACAAGCAGTGCCCATAAAGGCAAAGACAACCCACCAGCCATGTATTGTGTGGCATTTCATGTGCCTTTTTCAGACAGGCAACCGAAACAGAACAACAATTTAGCTCCTAGTAGGCTATCAAAAATCCTTGGTATTGTCCATGTGGCTTAATGGGTCATAAATGATACAAGACTGCTCATAGAGTAGATGAAGCTCCCATTCTAAGCCAACCTCAGCAATGAAGAGAAGATGTGTCTGCATGTGCTTAGTGGGAACATGAACCATGTCATCACAGTCTTTAATAAAAATCCAAATTTAGAAAGCCATTGCATCTGGTCATCTTTGGTCAATGTCCAGGTCACCCTGCTAGAAGACGTCTACCATTCATCTTATATGTCTTCATCTGACTCTCTCAAACCAAAAAAATGAGATCATGGTTAAGAAAGGAAGGAAACAAGATGGTTAGCAATGTACTTTTAAAACCATGCATTTGATAATCTCTTCATCCCCCCTCCTTTAACCTTCCAGATGGCAACCCCTCTGCTCCACATATCTACATCCTCCCTCCTCCTCCAGATCAGCTGGCTCTGCAGGAAACAGCCACCATCACTTGTTTGATGAAAGATTTCTCCCCTCCTGAGTTTTTTGTCAAATGGCTGCAGAATGATGAGCCTGTGGATGCTTCCAAATACTTCACCAGCACAGCCACCCAGGAGTCCAAGGCACCCATGCGGTATTACGCCTATAGCATGCTGAACATCTACGCAGAAGAGTGGAATTCTGGAAATACTTACACTTGCGTGGTGGGGCATGAGATGTTGCCCCTTCAGACGTCTCAGAAGACCGTAGACAAGAATACGGGTAAACCAACCGTTGTCAACGTCTCCCTCGTGCTCTCCGACATTGCCAGCACTTGCCAATAGCCATTCTTGTCAAGCCTCCTACACATCTTTCTCATCTTCCTAATTCTGCCAGCATCTGCTTTCCCTTCTTGTGTCTCCATTTGTTTAATTACTGGCCTTTTGGGGAGGAAAAGTGGGGTGATGTACCCTGAAGGTTGTAGAATTAACTAGCCTCATCTCTTTGAAGTAAAACAATAGTTTGAAATAAAGAAAGTTTATCGAAACATATGAAGATAATTCTGTCTTGTGGTTAGAAATGGTGATAAGGGGGTTAATGTTAATCCCCAGTCACACAAACATGAGATGAGGTCTCTACCCCCCTTTGAATTGGATGGGAATTGGATGGGAAAGCTTCTACTCACAGCACCTTCTCAAATATGATCTGGATTTTTCAGAGGGTGATAGAAGCATTGGACACCCAATCTTCCATGATTGTGTTTGCAGGACTTACTGTTTCCAGAAATCACTTTGTGCATTAGGTGTATCATGTTGGAAAATTCTAGAGCTTCATTAACAAGCATGGCATATAAACATATAGCACAAAATAAATAAATAAAGGTTATGGTTGCTTTTGTTATCATTGACAATGGCTACTACCTACAATGGCTATGTTCCCCAGAGGGGCTGGGGCAACCCAGCCAAATCGGCAGGGTATTTATTATTATTATTATTATTATTATTATTATTATTATTATTATTATTCCACCTACACTGTTGGAGGCAATCTGCCTCTGAATACCAATTGCTGCTGGTGGTGGGAACCACTGTTGCATTCAGGTCCTGTTCATGGGCTTCCCAAATGTATACAATTGCCCACGGAGATTATCCGATGCTAAATGGGCCTTTGACCTGATCCTGCAGGAGTCTTCTTCTATTATTCTTACTACATTTAAAACAGAAATATCAACATGAACTAATTTATTGAATTCATTCAGTCACACGCACACAAATCTCTGACCTTCCGAATCCTTGGCCAGGTCAAATCTTCCACTATCCTTACAGATAGTGTAAGTCACTCAGATAGTGTAGTCACTCAGAAGACTACAGAAAAGATTAGAGGGACCCAGAGCTGCTGCTACTCCAGCACTCTTCCTTAAAATAGAATATATTGTCCCTGCCTTCCCACCATCTGCTCCCCTCCCCCCAAAAAATAATCCATGGCAGATCTTACACAGGATTTCCTTTTCCATAGTCACTGTCTCAGGACACGAAGTGCAGTTGCCTCTAGCATATCAGGAGCTAGGAAAATAAACAATGCTGGGGACACATGCCTGTTTGGAGGTATAGGTCACCCATGTGCCATACCTCATTTCCACTCTTCCAATCAACACTGAGGAAGGCAAGGCTGTGAAAAAACTAGGCCAATTCTTTCATTCACGTTAAGCAAAAGTTGCAAAAGTTGTCCTCCTCACTCATAACAATTCCCCACTTCTTCTTGGTAATGGTAGGCTGTAGAAAGCCAAAAAAAATATATCAGCAAGCATCTCAGCCACAGTAGAATGTGGAGCCCAGGAGAGCACTTTGATTTCTTCAGTACTGGTTGGTATTGAGGTGCAGCCCAAAGGAATTTCTTTTGGGAAGATCAGTGCTTTTCATTCTTAGGTTCCTTTCATATATGGAGTCTGGTTAAATTGGATAGTGCTCCTGGAGCAGGAACACAGCCTTCTCCCACAGAGACTTGCCTCAGGTACCTGGAGTTGTTTGTTCTGCTGACACCTTTGCTGCACAGAATCCCCTATTTGCTTCTAATAAACAAAGGTTTAGAAGGTCCATGCTTATTACTGGAGATAAAAACTAAAAGGAATCTACAGGATAAAAGGCTTATATATGTACACACATACACAAAATGGATCACACCAATATGATGGAGCAGGCTGAGTTCCAAATTTATGAACAGATGACAAATGTTCAACCTTCTACTCAGTCAAATATAGTAGTGTGGCTTTTCTCATTTTGTCACACATACAGTACTGATGACAGCTGAGATACAAATGTAAGGTCATTTGTAGGTTCATAAGTGTTACACAGAATGCTAGATGGAATGCTATTTTGGGAAGATGGGCATCCATACTCTGTGGCAGAACATTGGCTGAAAAATTCCAAATGATCCCCATCTTCAAATCATAAGATAAACTCTTATAAATGTGTCTCATGGTTGAGACATCTCCTCCCGTATATTTCATCATTAATGTACGCTCATTATTCGTTAAAGTTGCATTCTACTTTAAAGATGTAGGCTCAGTAAGGCAAGCTACACTAGCAACTTACTGTATAATACAATACAATATGCAATCCTGTGTACGATGCTATGTCAAGAACAACTCAAAAATCACCCAGGCTGGGTGGGCAGTTATTGCAAAATTCCTGAGGGCTGTTCGTGGTTAAGAGAGCATCATGTTGAATAAGGGCTCCTAGACTCCCTTCAGCAAGCAGACCGTACCATGCAGAACTCCTAAAAGATTTATGGCTCTTTGAGTTAATTGCATGTTGTTGTTGTTGTTGTTGTTGTTGTTTAGTTGTTTAGTCGTGTCCGACTTTTTGTGACCCCATGGACCAGAGCACGCCGGGCACTTCTCTTCTCATGAGGTGGCCAAAGTGTTGGAGCCTCAGCTTCAGGATCTGTCCTTCCAGTGAGCACTCAGGGCTGATTTCCTTCAGAATGGAGAGGTTTGATCTTCTTGCAGTCCATGGGACTCTCAAGAGTCTCCCCCAGCACCAGAATTCAAAAGCATCAATTCTTCGGCGATCAGCCTTCTCTATGGTCCAGCTTTCACTTCCATACATCACTAAATTGCATATTAGATGTAGGCAAAATCAGCATCATGCTGCCAGCACAACCAAAGGAGGAAACAGTAAACCATTCACAATATTTAATGCCCCTCGGTACAGCATGCTACCATTCCAATCCTTCCCTAAATCAGCACCCCTTGCCTTTTCTCAACATCACCTGTCACCCGCCAGCATCCATGTTTGATTGTGCCCAGTCCAAAAAAAAAAATTATTCTCTTGTCTCCCTAAGTATCTTTTCCACAGTTCCTCACACTCTTTATGTAACCCAGTTTTGTCCCCTGTGTCGCTTGGCTACACTGAGACCTCCCCATGTTTCTAAACTGATCTGCATGTATCATCTAAAGCTTACCTAGATGTGATCGTGGATACTGATGACGATGAAGAACTCCAAAACATCTCATCAATCCTTTCCACTTTCATCATCCTTTTCCTCGTGAGCCTTTTCTACAGTGTCATTGTAACTGTCTTCAAGGTAAGATATATGGGGCAGAGGGAGATAGGCAAAATGATCAATAGTAACTCACTTGTAGCAGACAGGATAAGGGAGAAATGAGAGAACGCAAAAGCAACATGCAGGTACTATGGTCTTCATGGGGTAGGCCAAGCCAAGATTCTAGAAAAGACAATTATTTTGCAAAGCGTTCAGGTTATACAAGTCGAAGGAATATTTGTCAAAGATGCAGATTAAATATTCAGAGCTTTGATAATGCATTTCCCCCTCACTGTATGGATATACAGTTGTACCTTGGAAGTTGAACGCTTTGCGACTCAAACGTTTTGGCTCCTGAATGCCACAAACCTCGAAGTGAGTGTTCAGGTTTGCAAACATTTTTTGGAACCCAAACATCCTGCAGCCAATCGGAAGCCACGCCTTGGTTTCCAAACATTTTGGAACTTGGACGGACTACCAGAACGGGTTCCGTTCGACTTCTGACGTACGACTGTATTTCAGCAATTTCAAGCAGAACCTGTACAGATCCAGCACTCTAAGTGATGTAGATAACCCCCCTGTCAGTTCCAGTCTTTCAGGAACTCCAAACCATTGTTTCCACCCAACGGAAAAACCTCCCTATGCTGCTCAAAGACAGCTTTATTACATCACAAAATGGCAGAGGTAGACGGGACAGGAGGTTGTGAAACAGTGGAGGGTTGTGTGACATTATTTTCTTCCATGACATTAATTATGGTTGTTTTCCAATTCCAGGTGAAATAACTAAATGAAGGGTCATCTGAAGAGGGACAATAAGTTGCCTAACATAAAAGACTGTATATTCTTTCATCACCAGCACAATCAAGGACTTAATATTTCTCCATTCACTTTTGGGGAAAAGTTGACTGGACAGATGCCATTTCTGTCTTGCTTTGTCTCATCCTGTATCTGGGAGCAAGTCCTATCAAACTAAATGGGACTAATGTATGACGAGACATGCATGGCCTTTTGCTGCCAGTGTTCCATTTGAACTGGACCTATTGGACTGGTTGCTTATCCTTCAAACATGTATGCTTTAATTTTGCCTCCATTCAGTGTGTGTGTGTCTGTGTGTGTGTGTGTGTGTGTTGTATTCAACTAAGTACTACTTAAAGTAGACCTAATGAAATTAATTAAACTCAATTATCCCTTTTAACTCCAATGGGTCTACTCTGATTTAGGACTAGCATTGCATACCGCCCATCGCTGTGACTCTGTCGTGGTCAAATTTCATTTTAGCTATTGTTGCCTACCTAGTCTAAACCCAAAAAGAGGATATTGCAATTTCAACTCTGAATGCAGTAGACAGAGTATTGTACCACATATCTCAAATAGAATGTTTGCCTTTACTCCTGCTGTACATTAAGCTTACATTTCTCATGAACATTTTACAGTCCTTCTGAATTGTTACTGTATCTACTTTTCTAGTTTTAAGTATATCCCACACTGCATCCAGAGGGAAGAAAGGGTTCAGTTTATTCAAGAAACACCCTTTTTATAACTAAAAAAAGCTTTATCTCTTGAAAAGTTGTTGTTTTTAAAGAGCTTCCCAAGAACAAATAGAAAAAAGAACTCCCTTTCCCCACAGTGGAGCAGGCAGCAATGCCATCAAAATGCGTTACACCACAGGTGAACATCGGTGTGTGTGTTTTTTGGTTTTGTATTCAACTAAGTACTGCTTAGGGTAGACCTATTGAAATCAATTAAACTCAGTTATATCTTTTAACTTCAATAGGTCTACTCTGATTTAGGACTAGTCGGGAGCTCCTCAGAGTGCCAAGGAGATGCTCAGGCTCCTAAACACTAGACAGGACACTCAGGAGCGATCGTGTCAGCCAAGTGATGGGCTCATATATTTGTTATTTTTCTCTGTGTGAGAATGCACTTTAACCGTGATACACCCCAAGCATAAGCTGTGCCTCAGTTTTCCATATCGGACATGGGGATATGTCAGCCTCTCTTTCATATAGTGCCTACACAAAATTAAGGAGTGTATTTTTTTTGTAAAGGAGGGTTTCCATTACCAGCTTGCTATTCACTTTGGTTTCCCACAGCAAACACATGCTTTATGACATTTTTAGCTGACTCACTGCACATAAGGAAATGAGTTTCTATTGAAAGCCCCACACATCACATCTGCCTGTCTCCATCTGACTAGTAGCATTTGCCTTGGGCTGAAAGTGGAAACGCATGCCTGGCCACATTTGCTAGCATAAACAGGACACATCTGTTCTGGGGATGACTTATTCAAATGTCAATACCAGCCTTCAGCCATGTTGCTATCAGTGGCAAGCATCAGAAGATGAAATGTGTGCTATGGATTTTAGCCTTGATGAAATTAACCTCTTTATTCCTTGCTTGGAAAGAAATAAGTAATAAATTAAAGCTCTGTTGAACATGGTTGTCCACTGCTGTGGAGAGTCTTTTTAAGAATCAGAATCAGAACCTTGCTGTCCAAAATAGTTAATAGCTGTTTCTCACTTCGCAGAATTTCTAGACTTTTATGGAGCCATCTGAAGACCCAAAACCATACTGTTCAACTTTTTCAGATAAAAAAATGGGACAATCGTCTTCCAGGATGTGCTCCCGGGCAAGTCATGTGACCCGTGCTGCAATCTCATTCCCCTGAAGTGATTTTTGCGGGGTGAGAGCGTGGCATGAGAGCACGCAAGATCACGGCACTCAAAACGGCCACCACAATCTCACTCAAAAACTGGGATGTCCTGTTTTTCCCGGGACACCTGGCGGGTATGCAAAACTTTCCTTCTGACTGGACTCCTAGGCCTCTAAGGGCAGTACTCAACAATTTGGAACATGAGATTTTGGGAAAGATACATAGTTGCCAATTCATGCCCAAAAACACACTCCAAAGGCACCCAGAGCATTTTGAGTTGAAAACACTATTTTAAAGGGAAACTGCTGCAGTCTGTTGACTAACCCACCTTGCTGCAGGAACCAGGGCAGGACAAGCTATTGCAGTGTAAATTAATTTCAAGGTACAGAAGGGGGGAAAGAGCCTATGAGGAGCCTCAGCCAGTGGGAGAAAAGCATGAATATCTGAAAAGGCTGTGAAGGGGGTCGATACCACAGCTGCCCAAGTCCTCTCAGAGGGGTGATTTTTTGCAGAAGGGAAGAATTGGTTCCAAAAACATGTCTTGCAATATGTTGGAGTGTGGGACAGGGGAGACATTCTGCTGGTTGCCATTTTATGTGTTGTTTGGCTATTCCGTTTCTAAATAATAAATAGATAAATGAAATTTCAAGCTGCTGAGTACATTTTTCCATAAACTGAGGAGAACGAAGCAAGCAGACACCTGCTCACACCATGGGTCTCCTCTGTCTTCTGCATGGCCCAAAATCTGTTCCATAAGGTTGAGGGACCCTCCAGAGCAGTTCTGAGGGGGCATGGAAGGGGAGCTGGAGGCAGAAGAAGCAACGGTGCAAACTTGAATAAAATATTGGGGGGGACCTAGGTAAGCCCCACCATGCATAATCAATCACATGATGTGGTGCATGCACACCATTTGAACAGCAATGCCCATCAACTTGGGGGGGGTCCTCAAATATTTTATTGGGGGAGCCAAAGCCCCCTCGGCCCCTAGGAGTTGGCTCCTATGGGAAGAAGAGAAACCAGAAGAAGTCCTATTGTAGAATAGATATATTGTCTTCACAATTCAATCAACATGAAGTATTGGATGGGAAGTAAGAATTTACAACTATTGGAGGGAGCAAAATCGGCTACCAAAAAAATGGTTAATATCAATAAATGGGGGGTGAGGCCTAGCACTAAGTAAGGCCTAGCATGGCCCTTGAGCTTGAGTTGGCTTCTTTGACAGCATTGTCCTTATACAGTGGTACCTTGGGTTACAAACACTTCAGGTTACAGACTCCGCTAACCCAGAAGTAGTACCTCAGGTTAATAACTTTACTTCAGGATGTGAACAGAAATCACGCAGTGGCAGCAGGAGGCCCCATTAGCTAAAGTGGTGCTTCAGGTTAAGAACAGTTTCAGGTTAAGAACGAACCTCCGGAACGAATTAAGTTCTTAACCAGAGGTACCACTGTAACTTGGGTGTAAGTTCCATTCACAACAAAATCATACTTCACTAAATTCGCCAGGTTGGATGGTGCAAACCTATACATTCATACGCAGAAGAAAACCCCACTGGGGTTTCAATGGGACTTTGAACTCATTGGTGGTTGAGGTGAACAAGGTGAATGACAACAGGCCTGACTGCCTGCCAAGTCCACATAGGATTGCAGTCTGAGTTTGTTTGTTCCTCTGGAATCCTTGATATCTTTGCATCACCTTGAGCGCCCTCAAGACCAGAAAAACAAACACCTGTTAAGCTTAACTAACTACCGGTCAAGCCCAGGGAAGCAGCCAAGGAGGCCTGGGAGCTCATGACCAAGACTTCTGCATCTTCTGGCTCTTCAACGTGGTTTTGAGGAGAGCAGGGGTGCCGGCAGCTGGAGGAGGAAAGGAAGGGGCCTGAAGCCTAGTTGGTGTACAGTGGTGAATGGAGCCCAAGGGATGGATGCTGAAAGATATAAATGCATATCCATATGCCACTGGTGAATACATTGCTCTGTTTAACTGGCGGGATGAACAGAATTATACCATGAGCCAATTACGTGATGAAATGTATTTTTTCCAAGATTTGGACAGAAGAAAACAGGGTGCGGCGGTTATGTGGTGAAACACAATGACTAATTAGTGTGAACATGGCTAAATAAAAACAAAACGGTTTGAGTTTTTGCAAGTGAGATTCACCCGAACCGTGTAGTTCACACAGCCTTGTTTTTCTCAGCAATGAAATCTTTGGGTTTTGAAAAGGTGTCAAACATGTGAGAGAGAAAAGAGGAAGTTATTAGCTCCCTGGACCTCAATTGTTTGTTTATTTTCACACCTTTCCTTCACACCTTCAGGCCAGTTAGGACGTCACTAACTGGAAATTTTCTTTTTTTAAGGCACTTCATAAGAGAATGGTTAAGGGGAAACTCTGAAGGCCTCATTGCAACAGAAATGAATCCCGAACAGAAACTGTGGGTCACTCGGCAGAGGTCGGGTTGCTTCAATCAACTCCAGCCTTGGGATCGGTGAGGTAATTTTAATCTGTTTAGCATTTAAACTTCTGTATGTTTTAAAGAAGAGTTGTAGATTTATTACGATTTTACTGTTTGAAAACTGCTTTGAGGGGTTTTTTTTACAATAAATAAATAAAATAAAAGAGAGCTTTATTTTTACATTATGGGTCTTGAGAAGATAGGAACATAGATACCCCACAGGAGAAGGGACTCCTTGGGATGTCCTAGCCATTCCAGGAAGGAAGTGAACGATACAATGCCTGAGAAAGAGGAGAAGCATTTTTATCCTGTACTCAGGGGTCTTCTGTTGATTCTTGGGCTTCCTAGCTGATGCTGAATTGCAAGTCTTCCTTGCTACCATCTTCCAACTGAGCATCTTTATGTAAGGGAGGCTGGGGGAGTAGATGGGGCTTGGAGCTGCTGCATGTGAGGCTTGGAGAAGGCTGCAAAGGTAGCCTTTCTGTATCCCACCAGCTTCCCTATAGTCCAGCATTCAGTTGCCTCTTGGAGCTGAGAACTTCAAGGATAAAGAACAACTGGTCAACCTTCCAGAAGCTCCACTTCAGCTCCTGTTATCAGAGCCAAATGGGAAAGGCTGAAGCTCAGTGGTAGAACATCTGCTCTGCAAGAGGAAGGTCCCAGGATCAATTCCTGGCATCTCCCGGGAAGGCTGGGGGAGAAGCTCACCTGCAACCTTGGAGAGCCACTGCTGCCAGTTTGTGTAGGCAATACTGGGCTCAATATAAGGCAGCTTCCTTATGTTCCGATACCAGGACAGAGCAACAGCTGGCAGGGAACAACATAGGCACATGAACCTTGCACCAGGCACCATATTCAGCTTGAAGACTTCCCACCACTCAGCCAACAGAGAGGTCTAAAGAAGGTAGGTGAGAAAAGCCCCAGGGCTCCTTGCTAACTTCTCCCAAGCTTGTTACTCAGCTATGTCCCAGCTGGGCTACCTGCCAAGCTGCTTCTTGCCTCCAAGCTACGGATTATGCTAGGAAGCTGGAGGAGGGCAAGGGGGCTACCCAACAGTCTGGCCGAAGCCTCATGCTTTATTGAGAGATTCCAGAGCCCTCAGATGAATATTGGGCTTCAAAGAAGTATGTAGGGGAGAAGAAGGCTATCGGAAAGCTTGCTCAAATGCTAGGCTTTTGTTTTCTATGAATTGGCTGCGTGGAAGGAGGTAAATGAAAGTCAGGTGCTCAGCTGTGAAATTTCTCACCTCACCGTTCAGCAGCAGGCTTTAAACTAGTGGGCCAGGGAAGGTACCTGAAAGCTTACTCTAAGCCTAAGGACTCCTGCTCTCTTGAAGGGGTGCAAGGCTTATGGGAAGCTGGTGGGGAGGAAGGAAGCTACCCAAAAACCTGTCCCAGCCTGATCCTCAGCTGGGAGATGGCAAGGACCCAGCTGAGCACTAGGCTTGCAACAAGCTGGACAAGTGCAAGGGAGTGCTATAAAATCCATGTCAGCTGTAAGATCCCCTTACACTCAAAAGGGTGTAAGGCTTATGGGAAGCTGGTGGTGAGGAAGGGAGCTAGCTGAAAGCCAGAGGAAAGCATGGGGTCTAGCTGAAAGTCTGGCTGGAGCCTCATGCTCTACTGGGAAACTCCTGAGCTCCCTGAGGAGTGTTGAGCTTTTAAGAAGTAGGTTGGGCAGAAGGTTGCCTACTGTAAAAGCTTGCTCAAATGTAATGGTCAGCTAGGACAGACTTTTGGATAGCTCCCTTCCCAATGAACTTTCGGCTTCCAGAGAATTGGCTGAGGTGACTGAAAGTCTACCCCAGCCAGATGCTCAGCTTAGAAATTTCTGACCCCTCCAGTTCAGCAGCAGGCTTTAAGGTAGGGAGTACCTGAAAACTTGCTGCAAGCCTAATGATCATTTGGGAGACTCCTGCTCTCTCTAGGAGGAGCGTAAGGCTTTGAGAAGCTCCCTTTCGGAAGGGAGCTACCTGAAAGCTTGCCCCAAGCCTGATCCTCAGGAGGGTAATCCCCCAAACCCAGCTAAGCACTAGGCTTAAAACAAGCTGGGTACAAGTAGTTTCTGGAAAATCCATCTGCTGTGAGACTCCCTAGCTTTATGTAATAGCAGCAGGCTTCATGAAATCTGGAAGGGAACAAGGAGGAAAACTGGAGCTCTGCCCCACCTGATGCTCAGCTGGGAGATCATTCAGTAACTAGCTTAGCATCAGGATTCAGGGATGCTGACCCTGGAGCAAATAGGAAATCTGAAGCCAGCCCTGTGTGTAAGGTTTTACAGGTGCTGGGGAGCATCTGGAGTGGTGGGGGGCTGCCTGGAGCCCTGCCGTGAGCCCAGTGCTCAACTGGGGGATTATTGACTCCCCCAACTGAAGGCTGGCCTTCAGGTAAGCTGGTGGGGAGCATCAAGGAAGGGGCTACCTTCTATTTCTGCACTGAGCCTGGTTCTCAGCTAGGAGATTCTTGAGCCCCAGCCAGGCGCTAGGAGTCACAAAAGCTGGTAGAGAGCAGCTGGGGGGGATCTAGATCCCTCCCAAAGCCTGATGCTCAGCAAGGAGATTCTTAATCACCTACCTAAGTGTTGGGATTCACATAAGCTGGGGGAGGGGAGCAGCTGGGGTGGTAGGCTGCCTGGATGCCTACCCACATGCTTGCCACAAGCTGATGCATCGCTGGGAGATACATGACAACGCACTTGAGTGAAATGCTTCACAAAAGCTAATAGGGAGCAGCTGGTGGGGCAGCAGCCTGGATGGCTGGCCAAGGGCCTCATGCTCCACTGGGAGACTCCTGTCTACCCAGCTTATTGTTGGCCATAAGCGTGTGGGAAGCAGCAGAAAAGTGGGGCTACTTGGATTTTTGCTCAGGCTTGATGCTCACCTGGGGGATAAGTTGGTAGGGAGCAGATGAGAGGCTACCTGGATGCCTTCTTTGAGCCTGGGAGATTCTTCACTACCCAGCTGAACATTAGGATTTACAAAAGCTGGACGGAGGCTGCCTGGGTGGCTGCTACAAGCCTCGTGCTCAGCTGGGGGGAATTTTGGCCATGCAACTGTGTGTCAGGCTTCATATAAGCTAGTGGGAAGCAGCCAGAAGATGGCTGCCCCAAGACTGATGCTCAGCCAAGAGATGCAATCAGAAGGTTCCAGGACTGGCTGGGAACAAAGGGACTGCCTGAGAGCTTGCTCTCACCTTATGCCCAGCTAGGAGTTCCATCTGCAGGGAGGAGGGTGGCTGAAAATCTTCCCCAGCCAAATGCTTAGCTGGGAGATTCCTGAAACCACTACCCCCAGATGAGCAGCAGGGTCTAGCCTGGCAGAGAATCTTGCCCCAAGCCTAATGCTCAGTTGGGGAACCCCAAAACCTCTCAGATTATCATCAGGCTTCAAATAAGCTGCTGGGGAGATGCAGGAATCTCTCAAAGCCTGCCCCATGCTCATCTGTGGGGCTTGAGCTTCCCAGATGCACAGGTGGCTTCAGAAAGGCAGCAATGAAGTGAGGAGGTATCTCAAAGCCTGTGCAAAATAAAGCCTGTGTTAAACAGAGTCGCAACCTTCCTGAGCAACAGCAGGCTGCGGAGAAGCCAGCCGGGAGTAGCCAGGGTATGGGGGAACTGGCTGAGAGCTGGGAGGTTCCAATGATGGGTTCCTTGCCATGTAGGCAGCAGGAGGTGCTATCTGAAACTCTGGTTCTAGCCTGGTGCTCAACTGGGAGATTCTTGACTATCCAGATGAGCAGCAGGCTTCATGGGGGCTGCGTGAACAAGGAGTTATGGGGGGAAATCTGACCCAGGCCTGAAGCTCTGCCTGGAGACCCCCCAATTCCTACCAGAAGTGTCTTTGAGGTGCCCAAGTTCTACTCCATGTTCAGAAAGTATTCTTTGGAGCAGAAAAATCTCCAAGCTTTGCTGCACCACAAGCACTGAAGCCCTGGAATCTCTCTCAAGTGAGTTGCTATCGATGAGTGGGCTGAGCTGGTTAGGGCAGAAGGCTTGTCAAAACTCCTAGTTGCAGGGAAAGTTTCAGGAGACCCACTGAAAGACCACTTTCTGGGTTCTGTACCCAGCCCCGGGATGGTAGAGTAATCGAGAGGTTTAGCTAAGCAGGAAAATGCAATTTGGTATACCTGAGAAAGGCAGCCCCAAGGAACTGCACACTCCTGGGAGATGGAAAAGGACCATAACAGTTTAAACCTAGCATGATTCTTAGTGGTTGGAAGCTGAAGTGAGAGCAAGCTAGGTTTGATCCTCAGGATAGGAAAGATGTGTATTGAACACCAGAACTTTTGAATTCTCTCCTAGGGAGGTAAGACTTCCAGGGTTACTGTGTGAGAAGCAGACATAACCAGGACTAGACCAAGAGGGGCTTGTCCCTAGCTTTGGAAGGGTAGTGGGTTTTAGAACAGGCAGAGGCAAACTCGGCCCTCCAGATGTTTTGGGACTACAACTCCCATCATCCCTAGCTAACAGGACCACTGGTCAGGGATGATGGGAGTCGTAGTCCCAAAACATCTGGAGGGCCAAGTTGGCCTATGCCTGTTTTAGGACAAAGGCATTTCAGAAAGCTGGAACTGACTGGATAGGTTAGGGAACTGGGAGCCATAGCTCCTAGATTCTGTCGAGGGCTGCTAGCTGGCAGGGGTGGGGTGGGACAACCTCGCTGTGCCTTCAAAAGCAGCTTGAAAAGCTATGCCTGCTGAACTTCTACCTGCTTCGGAGATACTAAAGGCACAGGGAACATGGCAGGAGGAAAGTTCTCCTATGCTGTAGTTGGCTGAATTTTATGTATTGTAGGGTTGCCTTTTTTGATTTCATCATTTTACTGATTTGTTGCATGGTTGATTTTAATTTTGTCTATTTGATTTACGTACACTGCCTGGAATATGCTCTTTTTATTATAAACAACTTAGAAGCTAAATAGTTGAACCTCTGCTTTATCAGATAGAAGAAAGTAGCAGGCCAGTGCATCGTCATTTATGGAATAGGTTAGGCCCACAAACCACCATCTTTCACATTTAGAGCTCAAAAACCGTTGCAACTGACTATACGAACTGACTTGGCTTCATATTATGGCTCGATTTTATCTGTTGTGGATTGTGTCTTGTTGATTTAATCATTTTACTGAGTTGTTGCATGGTTGGTTTTAATTTTGTCTATTTTATAACATATGCTACTGGGAGAATTATTATTTTTTAAAGTTACTCATAAGCTGAATAGTTGAACATCCACTTTTATCAGTAGGGGGAAAGTATCAGGTTAATGTTTCATCATTTGTGGAGTAGGTTGGGCCCATAAACCACCAGCTTCTGATACCCCGTAGACTAGATAATCTTACACATTTATAACTCCAAACAAGTTGCAATTGGCTGTACAAACTGATTTGGCTTCACCTTCATATTATTACTGCCAGTTAATGAAGTTCAAAATCTCAGTTTGCTTGCCTCTCCATTTTTGTTTCTTCTGTTGACCAGCACTATTTTATTGTCCTCTTACCCAGTTTCAGTCAAGTTTGTATGTGAGGGGGCACTAAGCAGGATGCAGGACACCTGCAACCTGCCGCTGGTGCTGAACAAAGAGGAAGTGAGAGAAGTCGCACAACTAAAAGGAGGCCTGGAATTTTGAGATGTGGGCAATGCCAGCCAAAAATGCCACCCGAGAGAGTGAGAAACATGTGCTGACTCAAGACATAAGTCTATTAGTGTTCAAGGAAGCTATGTCACATTCACACCATACATTTAAAGCACTTTCGTCCCACTGTTTCATGGCTTCCCCTAAAGAAGCCTGGGCACTGTAGTTTAAGGGTGCTGGGAGCCGTTAGGAGACCCCTCAGAGAGCCACACTTCCCAGCATTCTTTGGGCAAAGCCATGACTTTTAAGGTGATGTAAGAGCACTTTAAGTGGATGGTGTGGGTGTGACTGTGTTCCGAGGCAAGTGCATTCAGGATTGCAGCTATAGATCTTGAGCCAGGATCCAAATCTTGATTGCTTCATCCCACTGGTTTCAGTTAGATGAAAGGGGCTTAAATCTAATGACTTGGTCTCAGATGGGTGGCGAGTCAGCCATCAAAGTGGCTATTACCTTTTCTTTTTCATCTTACTCTGAACCAAGATAACTCAGTAGCTAAAGGCTTTCTCACTGTGGCAGGAAAAGCTTCCCCACTTAACTTTCTGGGGGACACCCGAGCGCAGCCCAAAAGCAGGGAAGGAGCTGCCAACCTCAAGTGTAAATGTATCTGGTCTAGACACTTGTGATTTGCAATCTGTTGAGCAACTGGAAGCTTTGTCATGGGGCAGGAGTCCAGAAGCACCCTCTTGGCCTAAGGCTCCACACCTCCTAACGGACACAAATACCTTGTTCTCTTAGAGGTAGTAAACCTAGGTCTCAGAGGTAACACGCAGCTAATACTCTTTCATAAAAACAAAACAAATCCCCACATTGTTTTTTAAAAGCACTGTTCATTTTCCACTTGTCAGAACACTGGGGAGGTTAGGAACTTCTTGCCAAGGTGCCAAATGTGGCCCTCTGTCCAACTTTTAAAACCCTCCCCAGACCTTTCCTTTAGTGTTTTTCCCTGGTTGGAATATGCCAATGAATTGGGATAATGGCTCTTGCTTATCTGGGTGGGGGAAATAGAGAGGCATGTGTGTGCAGAATTCTGACTTTCCTACAACTAGGATGTACAAAGGTAAGAATTGCATGTGTTTTTCTGTTCACCCTTGTTGCCTTTTTGCCTTTGGTCCTGCCCGCGAATGAAATGTGGCCCCTAGAAGCCTGGTTACAAGGGATGTGGCCCTTTGCTATAAATATTTCTTCCCTTTCCTTTGGGCATAGGCAGATGCGGATTTGCCACCACAGTGACAACTAGACCAAAACGACAGCCTTTCTCCTTACTGCTTTCCCCCAAGCCCCTCACCCCACACTCTCTCACACTCCTTTCCCTTTTGCATGAAAGGATCCCCCATCTAATGGCTGCAAGATTCTCTGTTGCCATATCTTTCTCTCTGTTTTGTCAACATACCATGTAAAATAAGAAATTCTCCAGTATTGTCATACTGTACGTGATGAACTTGCAGCCCAAAAGCTGAGGTGGAATTCACTGAATAACAGTGCAAATGCAGCTTAAGGACAGACATCAGGCATTCGGCAATTTTTAAAGAAAACCAACCCAGTGGCGTAGCGTGGGGGTGCAGGGGGAGCCGGCCGCACCGGGCACAACATCTGGGGGGGCGCGCTCACACTCGCAGCTCTCTGCCCCTCCCTGGCTCACTCACTCTCTCTCACTGCAGTGCTGGCTGTGCGAATCCGATCCGAGCCGCTGGGTCGCAGCCCACTGTGGAGGGGGTGGGTGCCAGGCGTGCGGTGCGGTGCGGAGAGAGAGCGAGGGACTATCTGGGGGAGGGATAGTGCAGCGGCCGCCCAGCGCAGCGCTGAGCGCGGGAGAGAACCACACCAGACCAGACCAGGCAGCAGCAAGAAGAAGCTGGCAGCGGCGGCAGGTTAGGGGTTAGGGGGCGCAAATTACTTGCCTTGCCCCGGGTGCTGACAACCCACGCTACGCCGCTGAACCAACCTGCCAGTGGGTGTTGAACAGGGCTGTGTCTATTCTGCAAATAATTCAGCATCCTAAGCTTTCACTGTTTTTAAAGCATAGCTGAGAAAATAAGCCTGAAAGTCAACAGATATTTCCTCCCCACCCTCTAACAAATAGCAGTGAGATCAATCATGGAACCTTCTTCATTCCAGGTGAGCTTAGCACTTGTCGACAATGGCAAAAATAAGAATGACCTCAGACGTGCCCAAGTGTCTTCAGGTTGATGCGTCCCTCAAATAATGTTTACCAGGCCCCTTACGGGGTTTGAGGCTCTTATTGTTAATGCTGGCTCTAAGAGGAAAGGATTTGTCTTGAGGATTAATAAGATCTTAATCGAAATTTGAGCAGGTGTCGTTGCATGGCTGAGAGGAGGCAGATATGAGTGAACAGAGGGATGAAGCGTATATATCTATGGTGCTCTAGACCAGAAAAGTCAATGTCTCCCTGTATAAGGGAAAACATATAGAGATTAACCTACAGTACCACTGTCACCTATGGAAGATAACACAGCACCAACAGGTTGGCTTGAATGTGGTGCTAGAGGCACTTATTACCACTCACTGTGTTGTGATGAAGGCATAAATGAGGCGATGAGATCCTGCAACTCCCGCTCAGCTCATGGAATCATAGAATAGCAGAATTGGAAGGGACACCCAAGCAGCATCTATTCAAACTTCTGCATTGCAGGAACACAAAAACATCCACATTTGCTGGACAGCATACCCTCAACATGCATTTCTGTCTTTTTTTTTATTGCAGCGAGCACCACAGCCCCGACGGTCTTCCCATTGCCTCCCTGTAGCCAAGACTCCTCTACTGCCTCCCAGGTCTCCATAGGTTGTCTGGTCTCTGGCTACTTTCCTGAACCGGTCACAGTACGGTGGAATTCAGGAGCCATCTCCAGCGGCATCCGGACTTTCCCTGCAAAATTGGATTCATCCAGAGGCCTCTACACCCTCACCAGCCAGCTCACCGTCCCAACCAGCACCTGGGAATCAGAGAAGTTCCAATGCAATGTCGCCCATGCAGCTTCCAGCTCCACAATCAACAAAGACATTGAGCGTGAGTCTGGCTGGGCCTTTGTTATCTGCTTCCTCTTTAACCTACAAATGGATGGTCGATCTGGCAAAAGAAAGAAAAGTAAAATACAAGGGTTGGGAGAGACGGGAAATGGATTCAATATATTTGGGTAGTGTTATTGTCTAGTACCAAGGCATGTTAAGCGCAGCAGCAGCTCAACGTTGGCTCACAAACGAAATGTGGGAGACAACTTTGGAGTTGTCTGTTCAGCACTAAAAGTGATGTTAGGGTTGTGCCATTTAAGATTTCAGTCTTGGGGGCTAGGTACAGCAACATCCAGCGGCATTTTTTTAAAAAATACACTTTAGTTTTAAATTGTTAAATTTGTGGTGATTTATTTTTAAAGTTTATTTATTGCTGCTTTATTCTCAGAGCAATGTTACCAGCATGTGTACCACACACAGTGTGTGCTGATAATAGTATTCATGACCTGCTCCTTTAAACTGCTTGTATTCACTTGCGCAACCAATAGTAGGGAAGTATCTTGGTGAGGCTGATCAAAACTTTGGGATTAGTAGGAGAGACAAAAGTGGCGAATGGCAGATGAATTAGTGGCCGCTCACTCTCCAGTCTTCTATCGAAGTGGGTCCCTCAAGACATACATTGAGTAGGAGACAGGTCCCAGACTAGAGATCACTAAAATCACAGAGAAGTGGTATTAATGCCCCTCACATATGGATGGGTTGAGAAGATCAATTTGGTTCATATTTCAAGACAAATATACATAATTCGCAGTACTTGAACCAAAACATGTCCATCATTTCCAACTTACACTTCTTTAAATTGTGCAAAGCTGTTCATCAGCCAAGTAATGTGCACAAAGAATACATATCGTGTGTGAGTGAATAATATATAAGAATGTGTTACATTAGGAGCACTGTTTTACAGGAATGTTTATATTAGGCAAAATATCACTCAGAGGTGTGTATATTAAGAGAAGTTTGAATTAAAATGCAGATGACTTTTCATAAGGACTGGTTTGCTGATTGGTGTGAAAAAAAACTTGAAAAATAAGCAACTGAGAGGAACCATATCTGACAGATTCACCCATCTCTGCCTTTCTATAATGTAGGAACCTCTGCAAAATCACCAGTGGCCCCGGAGGTCCGCCTGCTCCATTCCTCCTGCGATTCCAAATCCGGTGGTGCCACCATTGAGCTGTTCTGCATTATCTCCAGCTTCTACCCCAAAACGTTGACGGTGGAATGGCTGGTAGGTGGGCAAGCCGGGCTCCTGCCTTCATTCACTGAGCAGCCCAAGAAGGATGCCCACGGATACACTTTCAGTACCACAAGCACAGCCAATGTCAGCCAAGCTGACTGGAAGGCTGGGAATGTCTACTACTGCCAGGTGTTCCACGAAGCAACACAAACGAAGGTGAAGAGCAAAGCCAAGATATGTGAAGGTAAGAGCAGCTGACTAAGTTGGCACTTGAGTTTCCCTCTGTTTTGGTGGGCATGGACTGGAACGTGAGGGGGAGGGCTGCTTCCAGATTGCAGCTTCCTCCTACTTCATTTATACATATATAGATATAGCTGCTTTCAATTATGTCCCATTGAATTAAGCCTTGAACACATGACCTTACTAGTAGAGTAGTTGTTTTCCATTTCTGCTGGAAGCAGGACTCAGGGAAGACATAGGGGAGTGGACATCAGAGTGCCCCAGATGTCCATGAAAAGTCTTGGCAAATATGCTATCCTCTTCAGGGTCAGGGGATGTTTTCCATCCTCTACAACATGTAGTTTGACTCAATGGTGTAAACCACCTCCTGGATAGAACAATGTAGTCTTGATAGCAGAAGCTGATATTGTAGAAGGGGGTGATAGGGAACTGTTTGTTCCTGCTCATTGTTCACAATGGAATATGGAGCTTTTTTAATTTTAGGACAACCAAGGGCAGCAAACACCAGCTTCATTCTTTTAATATTTGTACCAAGTCTGGAGTTTTTGCTCCCTTTTACTCTGGAGCAAGGAATGCCCTTGTTAACAGATTATTATTATTATTAATAATAATAATAATAATAATTTATATTTGTACCCCGCCCATCTGACTGGGTTACCCCAGCCACTCTGGGCTGCTTCCAACAAATAGAAAAGCATAATAAAACATCAAACATTAAGAACTTCCCTATACAAGGCTGCCTTCAGACGTATTCCAAAAGTTGTATAGTTATTTATCTCCTTGACATCTGATGGGAAGAAGTGAGAGTCAAATAGAGAACTAACATGAAGTTTGTGCCTCCAGATGCCACCGTCTGCCCTTCCACTGGCATTGACGTAAGAATCATAGTCCCAACTCCAAAAGACCTGTACGTAAACAGCGACCCCAAACTCATCTGCGTGGTGGAAAACTTGATAGATACAGATGGGCTGATAATCACCTGGTCACGGCAGACACCAGGACCTGTTAGCCAAGAACTACTGGAAACAAAAGAAGAGCCTAATGGAAAGTTCACCGCTACGAAGGCCCTCTCTGCCACAACGTGGCTACAGGGAGATGAATTCACCTGCAAAGTGGAATATCCAGGCCTGGTTGCTCCCATCATTAGGACCATTGCCAAGACGACAGGTAAGGGGGAAACAGGGCTGGTCTCCCATCCCAGGGCTGGTGGTTTTGTGTTACAGAAGGAAAACACAACACAACTTGGCAAATCTGCAGTTTATGCTAGAGACACAAGTTACAATTTCAAGCAGTCTGGTGGAGGTCTTGTGCAGGTTTGCTCAATCATTCTACTACCCTTGTCTCTGCTCAAAGGTTTTATGGTGCTAGAAAAACCTGCAATGCGCTTTTTTAATAAAAAAAATCAGAAGGCAACACTGGAACCAAGGAAAGAAAGGCTTGTGTCCACTGCAGGGGCCAAGACGTCTCCCATTACTCTTTCCACTCTCATGAAAACCATTTCATCTCTAGTTACAGATCCTTCAAACCCCTGAATCTGTCTATTGATAATGTTTACCCAACATTGGTCGAGCTACATGAAGGATTGAGCCAGTTCTGATGAAGGCAGATCTTTATGTCCTTGCCCTGGTGGCCCACTCCACAAATTTAACGAGCCACCAGGGTAACTGCTTCAGGAGCAACTGCGCAGAGCTTGCTCCTTGAAGTTTGCAAGATTTTCACCTTTCAGCCCCAAGCCATGCTGCAACTTGAACATACCAGTACCTTCTCGGGAAAGACTGGGATTCTGTGTGGGCTGGGTGACTTCTGTATATCTGTTGAGAAACTGGGCTGTATAAATATACCTCATATCTCTGCTGTCCCAGTTTGTGCTCCTATTCATTCATCCAGCTCAAAGAAGCCCAACACATGCTATAGATCTTCACATAGATCTACACACTGATGGTGACTTCAGCTGAAGGCACTTCAACTCGTTGGCAATTGAGTATTTACCCCAGTGTGTCTACTGTACAGACATAAACTGCTCTTCAAAGAATCTAACAGATAATATTTAGAGTCAAATGACATTAAAAGCCAGGTGGAGCAACTATTGGGAACATATTGCTGTTACGAAGTGCATATGAACAGGCCAGAGGTGAGCCACGCTCTCTGCAATAACCCTGTCTGGAGTACCTATGTTCAAGAGAACAAAATCACAGGGACTCTCATTGTCAACACTGCATCCACTCATTTGGTCTAAACTTAACTACTGTTGCCTCTCCTTTTCTCTCACATATATTGTCCCTGATCTCAAAAAGGAACGGTCCATGCTCCTGAGGTGTACCTTTTCCGACCCCACCCTGAGGAAATCCGTACTCGGCCATCTATGGTGACCCTCACCTGCCTGATCACTGGGTTCACCCCAAAGGCAATTTCTGTCCAGTGGCTGAAGAATCACAATGCTATACCTGACGATCACCATGTCAACACCCCAGTCATGAAGAACAACAACAACCATTCCTACTTCATGTACAGCCACATGAAAATCGCATTAACTGACTGGAACAACGGAAATGCGTTCACCTGCATGGTTATCCACGAAGCCCTCCCCATGAAGTTCACCCAGAGGACCGTGGAGAAATCCCAGGGTAAAAAATGATGACCATCCCTCCTACGGCATTGCAACCTCTTCAGCCTCTCCCAGATTTTCCTCTAGCATTGTTAGATAAACCCTGTGTAAATAATTTCCATGCATGCGTGTTTGGCCTATGGCTGAATAAAAAGAGAACCAACTCAGATATATCCCATGTTGTGGTCATTTGCAGGAGAATCGATGACTAGCGTGAGTTTTGGAAAGCGGGGGGTGGATTAATTAAGTGGGTATTCATGGTATTTGGAAGCAAAATGTATTCACCATTATCAGAGCTATGCCATGGGAGGCAGAGGTGCAAACGTCTGATGTCAGTATATGTGTATTTTAATGCTCACAACAGGCCCTTGATAAGTGCCAAAAGTGAGAGGGATTTGGTCCAAAGACACCAACTGAGCTTCATCTAGTTGGGTGGTGATTTGAATCTGGGTCACATTCCACCAGGCTCAAGTCCAATATCCCATCATCTGCTCCACCCTGGCTTCCATCTATACATGTGCATACACAGGAAGCTGCTCTCCTTTTAACGTCTGGTGCTGAAAACAACAAATAAGCTGCTAATTCGCTACTGAGGAATATCTCTGTACCAGTCTCTGCCTCCTTCAGCCAACTGCCACCAGGCCTCAGTTCCTCAGGGGTTGAAACCAATTGACCATAGCAGAGTTGCTGTGTTCACTGCATTCCAACAACATAATTATAGCTCAGTGCTCTTTATATTTTTTTTATCTGCCACGCCCCCCCCCCAAAAAAAAATCAAAGCCCAAAGTTCATCCAATAAGTTTGCCTTTTTAGGCACCCATATATATAGAAGGGAGTCCTGCCCATATCAGAATATTTTGCATTGCCTCTCCTTCCTCTGCCTGCTCCAAATATTGATATATGGTACATGACGTAAGAAGCTGGCTCATTGGTTTGCCTACTCATAGTAGGCCCACTGAAGTTAATTGATATGTGCAATTTAGGTTCATTCGTTTCAATAGGTCTACGCTGAGTATGATTAGCATTGGGTGCAAGCTATGCAGCGTTCTCTGTCGCAGAGCGGGAACCTTGTTCCAATAAGAGGTGCAGAGCTATCTGTATGGAGGTGCAATACAGAGGCCAATGTCATCCTGTGGAAAGTTAGTTCAATGGGGCACAGCAGCATGAGCAGCAGGGACAGAAAGTAGGCAGAATTCACCTGGTGCAACATATGTGCACACTCCCCGCTTCAACACATGTAGCTTCCCTTCATATCAACTCACCTGGCCTGGATTTCAGTGACAGGGCAGAAGAAATGAGACAATGCAAAACACCTGCATTGCTTGAAAGCAAAGAATAGTTTCTGAGAGCCAGCTATAATGGGATGCCATGGGGGGAGGGCATTTTGAGGGGGCAACCCACAGTTTGCTGGGGCTGCATTTCAGGTCACCGCACAAGGCAGCAGAATGTGTGTAAACCCCTTATGCCCTGCTACGCCCTCTTCCAGGTCAAAACACAGCGAGTGTTTACACAGCCGCATGTGCCTTGAATGTGCACAAAATGGTTGTTGTGTATATAGGGAGAGGTTTTCTCCCTTAGCGCTCTCCACGGTTACAATAGAAGCACCATAGGGAAAGGTTATTTTAATCCAGAACCACATAAAAAAATAACCCCCCCTTGCACCAGGATCCTGACAAAAAAATGGCCTTCAAAGTGGCTATTAACTGTTAAAAAGAATCAGAAGAAATTTCATTTGACACCTTTAGCATCACATCAGTAAGACATGGGGGGTGGGGAGGATAATAATAAACCTAGTTTGACCCTGAACTTGAGATGGGTGAGCAAACTGAGCCAAGCCTGGCTAGATGAGTACACAAGTCAGATGGAGCCATGAGAAAGAATCAAATTTACAGAATATTCAGGCCATAATAATGGATTGTTCATATATTATTGGGTGGGTTATGAGAAATAAAAGGTCCAATCAAGACACATATGTACACAATGCAAAAAGGCAGAGCGAGGATATGTTTTCCAAAATGATAGTCAGGGATCCCCTCAGAACCATCCCATCAAATACGAAAGAGCAAAATCTCTGACATTTTACAAAATCGGAGAAGGGAGAAAATGGAACTTTCAAGTACACTTTTCCCCAGTCACCCCTCCTTTTGGAAACCAGACACAACATCTCCACTAAGTCACTCTTGTCCTAGTTATGCTGCAAGGGTCCAGCCTCAGCCATCACACACAAACTCCCTACCCACACCTGCTCCCTGGTTACTCCTTGAGTCAGTGTTAACAGTACTTAATGTACTGGTTAGTGTTTGTTTTGGTGCTTAGAACTCCAGATTCAAATCCCTCCTCAGCCATGAAGCTCACTGCGTGGCCTTTCTGGACATCCCTCAGAAAACGAGTTAATTTAAGACTGTGCTAAAACATGCCCACCTCCTCATTTATTGAGGATTATTCCATCCAGCCATCTTCTGTGACTCACTGAAACTGTCAAGACTAGGATGTATTTTGTCATGTGGTGAAACGGTTAACCAACTGTTTTGAACACCTCTGAACATTGCTATTCCTCATTGATTTATTACCTGAAAAAAATGGAAGGCAAATAGCATTCTGCAGATGAATTGAAACACATTGCACAACAGGTTCATCCTAAACAAACTGATGAGAATTAGATGAACTGGTACTTTAGGCAGAGTGTCGGAAAAGAGAGAAGGGGAGAGAGAGCGAGAGAGAGAGAAGTGTTGCAACAGAGTGAAGTTACTCTGTAGGACAAGGCACAAACATTACGTGGGGTGAACAGAGAGAGTTCCCAAAGAGCCAACACCAAGCCACTATTGCAAAATTTAGATAATATTAATTGTTATATAGGCCACAGGTGATCTTGCAGGTATATAGTTAGTGCATCATGGATTTTGTAGTCTATGTTAGACTGTACGAAATAGAAGGAATAATATTAGTAGTACATAATTCGGCATAATTCTATATGTACAATTAGATATTAGTGGTGGGTGAAGGGATGGCTGAAGTTATGGGATATTTTATGTTGAACACTGGAAATGACGTCTCTCTCTCTCCCCCTCACAGAGGTGGCTGTGTCAACAATTGATGATTACAGCGATGAAAAAGAGGAGGAAATGGATCGTCTCTGGGTCACCATCTTTGTTTTCTTCATTCTCTTCCTCCTCAGTGTTTCTTACAGTGCCACCATTACACTGTTCAAAGTGAGTAGAGAGGAACGTCTGTTATATGTCTACATTTGAATCTTACGATGTGGAGTGACAGAGGCAGCAGAAACACCACTGGGATGGAGGGTGGGAAGCAAAGGATAAGGCTGAAATATTTGTACTCTTTATTGTAAATTAGTGAATGGTTCTGTGAAGGACTCGGCACATACCTTTACATATCCTTGATGCCAAATAGTCCATTAGATACCCCATTAAAATCAGATGACTGGGATGAAGGAAAATATTTGACTTGCTGATCTGCAAGAGAAGTTTAGGGATAGGAAGATGCTGGAGATGCAATGGTTGAGGGTACATTCTTCCATATGTGGTGGACCTGTAAAAGGTTAAAAGCGTATTGGGAAATAATCCACAATGAATTGAAAAAAATGTTTAGAAGTACTTCCCTCCCCCCCCCCCAAAAAAACAACAACCAGAGTCCTTTTTGTTGGGGATAATTCAGACGGAAATTCCCAGGTGTCAGAAAAGGTTGTTTATGTATGCCACCACTGCAGCCTATGTTTTGTTAGCCCCAAAATGGAAAACGAGTGAGGTCCCAGCTAAAGAAGAATGGCAACTTAAACTGATGGAATAAACGCAGCTTGTGGACCTAACATATAGAATAAGAGAACAAGAAGAACATATGTTTAAAGAAGATTGGGAAATGTTTATTGAATGTATGGGGGGAATTTTGTACACTTGAGAAAGTTGGCAGCATTAAGATAAATTCAACAGTGTAAACAAATTTTGTTGGATATAATAATGGAATACTGGATGGTTTAGTTTATGTAAAATATGCAGGGATTTATAATATGCAAAAAGAACCATGGAAAGAGAAGAAAGGAAGTCATTGGCATTTTAAGGTTGTTTAAATGAATATTCTAAAGTGTAAAACAAAAAATTTAATTAAAAATATATTTAAAAATGGGATAGGAAGATGCAGAAGGATGGCAAGGAATGATGTTAGTATACAGTGCCAAAAGAAAGTACTTATTCACACAGCATAGCTAAGCTATTGAATTTGTTCCTACAAGAGGTAGTGATGGCCCCAGACTTTGATGGCTTTAGAAATGATCACACAAATTCCTGGAGGAGGAAGGCTATCAATGGCTACCAACCTCAATGGCTAGGTTCCACCTTCATTGCTCAAGACAGTGTTCCTCTCAGTACCAGTTGCATTCAAATCCTGCCTTTGGGCTTTCCACTACAGCATCTGGTTGGCCACTGTGGGAGCAGGAGGCCAGACTGCATGGACACTCTTTGACCAGATCCAGCAGGGTTCTTCTATGTTCTTACACTTTCTTGTAAGCTGGTGGTTTATAAATAAATAAGTAAATATAAGGAATAAGTACAGGGTAAGTAATAATACATCATACAACTTGCAACCTGTGACTGGCAGGAAACAGGGAGGACAAAACCACGAATGACAAATAGAACATGCAGATCTTTCTTCTTCCACACGCACTTCTGTTCTGTGTCTTCCTTTCTCCTCACTCTCATTCCTTTCTGCAGGTAAAATGGCTCTTCTCCACTGTGGTGGTCCTGAAAAAGCAGCCAGCAGGCCCTGACTATAAGAATGTGCACCAATGATTGGCCTAGAAGCATTTTCCTGAGAGCTCTTGTCCTACACTTTGAGATGTGCAAAGAAGAAGTCACTGGCTGGAGATAGGACTCCGTTTCCAGCATTAACAACTGAAGCTTCTCTCTGCTGTCTGCTTCTCTTCCCTGGTAGGGGGACAATGAAGTCCCATCAAATGAAGGACAGAGAGGCAATTTTGTTAGAACTTGGAGCTGGACTCGTCATATTATGTCATTTGCTGAGACTGCACTCCCAAGACAGGAAGCCTACTGGCCCTTTGTGCATCTGTTTCCCACAGTGGCTGTCAAGAAGAGCAACTAGTACTCCCAACCCAAGGTGTGGAGACAGTCCCACAGGCCTTGAGAAAGGAGTTTGGCACATCTACTCAGCATTAAGTCCTCCTGAGTTCAATGGGGCATACATCTAAGTATACATATGACTGCAGGCTGGGTATCCACTGGACTCTCCCCATTTCAGAGCTTCAGATCTACTCTCAACCCCATGTTCTGCCATATGCTGTGCCTGCTCATCCAACATACCCTCATCACTAGTAGGCATCCAGCCTCACCCAGCTATTGGAGACACTGACCTGTCCTGACCTGACCTAAGCATTCTACATAAATGTCCTATTCTGAATATTGTCCTTCTCTATACTGAATATTTCAGTCAATCAGTTTAAGACCCACACAATACCAACAATTTGTTCTTCCTCAGCCCCATGACTGGCACTGAGGACATTTCTGCTCTTTTATATATTACATGATTTGTGGTCACAATCAGTGTTTTTTTTCTGGGCAGACACAGCAGGACGCATACCCCTAAACGTTTTGTTTTGCCCCGACTGACGGATGAATTGACATGCCAGCTGTCTCTGTAGTAGCAGCGCAGACTGGAGCTCCATCATTCTCCCTGTTGGTGCCTGGGGAGGGGAATCTGGGGTGGCCGCGGTGGAGGTGACAGCACTGCTGCTCCTCCTCTTGCCGGGCTAGAGCAAACCGGTGAGCACTCGCCCCTCCCCGCTCAAGCCAACCCCACCGCTGCCGCTGCCAGGGGTCTTCCTGTCCTCTCACCGCCGCTGCTATTTTCTAGCTATTTTTAGCTAGTTTCTGCTATTTTCATATACAGTGGTACCTCGGGTTAAGAACTTAATTCGTTCCGGAGGTCCGTACTTAACCTGAAACTGTTCTTAACCTGAAACACCACTTTAGCTAATGGGGACTCCCACTGCCACTGTGCCACCGCTGCACGATTTCTGTTCTCATCCTGAAGCAAAGTTCTTAACCTGAGGTAATATTTCTGGGTTAGCAGAGTCTGTAAACTGAAGCGTATGTAACCCGAGGTACCACTGTATTGCATGTTTTGCGGTCATAACTATATTTACTAGACAATAATAAAATAAATAAATAAATAAAATTGCCTTCTGAAGGTTTTTGTTTCGTTTTTGCTCCTCCTTCACATACTTTCAGGAAGGAGCTTCATCCTCTTTTGAAAATTCCGCCTGTTGTCCCATAAAAATCAGCTGTTTGGGAACCTGAAGACTTGCAGATGTTGTTGGACTCCAACTCATAAAAGTCACAGCCAGCATAACAAATAGACAGGGATGGTGGGTCTTGCAGTCCAACAACCTATGGAGGGCCACAGTTTCCTCACCCTTTACTTGCATGCCAAGACCCCGTGACCCCGCAGTTCTCCAGGGAGTAAATTACCAAATAAGACAACAGGATATAGTTTATGGTTTCAAATAAGCCACAACTTTTATTGGGTTAGATATTTTATTGGGTACAGATGTGAACAGTTTGGCATAGGCATTTGGGGAAACCAGTTTATTTCACTTCAGCCTGTCTGCTGGGAATGCAACTAAGGGTAAACCACCTTGGAGGGATATGACCTACATCAAATAGGGGTAGCTCCCGAGGGGTCACAGTTGGAGGGGTGCTATGGCTGCAGTCCCCTCCTGGGCATTGGACAGAAGCTACTCCTCCAGAGCTTTCTCCGTGAAAACCCGCTCTTTAAAGCTCATTTGGAGCAAGCAGTACTCCACAGCAACCCAAATGGACGCTTTTTTCCAAATGAGCACTAAAGAGTGGGTTTTGTGGAGAAACCTCTGGGGTGAAAACAAAACAAAAAATAAAAAATATGGACTCTGGCAAGAGGATATACGATTTACTGCCTCATATACAATTAAAGAAAAGTTTGTAAAGATGTTCTATAGGTGGTACTTAACATCAGTTAAGTTGGCAAAGATATATAAATTGAAATCCAACTTCTGTTGGAGATGTGGTGGAGAAATAGGAACAATACACATGTGGTGGAGGTATGAGGAAATTAAGAAATTTCGGATAGTAGTACATGAAGAACTAAAGAAGATGTTGAAAATATCAGTAACAAAGAAACCAGAGACATATCTCCTTGGATTGATAGATGAAGAGATACCACAGGTGGGGTGTGTGTGGATTTTTCTATATGCAAGTACAGCTGCTAGAATAGTGATTGCTCCTAGGTGGAAATCACAAACTATACCTACAAAGGAGGAATGGATTTGTAAACTACCATAAATGAATATTTTATTTTGGCAAAATTAACTGCTATAATAAGAAATCAGTCAAATCAAAAATTAAAAAAGAAGTGGAAATGTTTTAATGAATATATGGCAAAATGTTGCTCAAAAAAAGATACGCTAATATGCCTAGATTAAAATGTGAAGTACTGGATGGAAGAAAAATTAGTAAGGAAAGATAATAAGAATATATAGATGATTTGAGAAGATTGTAGAATGCAAGATTATTGTAAATTGTATAATGTGGAGGAAATCGAGTGGGGGCGGAGGGAAGTGGGAGGAAGGAGAAAAGAATAATATGATGGATTGAGGAAATATAAATGTAAATGTATGGGGGGATGGGGAGAAAATGGTGTTGGCTCTGGTATATCTGTATTGTAATGTAATATGTGAAAACCAATAAATAAATAAATAGAAAACATGGAGCTTTTAAGCATCTATCTATGCCTGGAAGGAGTGGGGCAAAGGTAACTGTGGATGAACCCTGAGATGTGCCATAGCTGTTACGTCTTTGTCCGCTGCTTCTGCCACCTCTGCCCAAGGTGGTCATCCAGCAAGGGACCAGCCAGACTCCAATGGCTCCTCCTCTGGCAAGCCCAGTGCTCTGAGGCAGGAGCTTCTCATTCACCTGCTTGTAGTACAAGTGAGGTGAGCAATGCTGCTTTCTATGTCAATCATGGGGGGGTTCCCTCTCAGGAATATACTGCATTTACTAAGAGACAAAGGACTCCTTCATAGTAAACACAGCAGGGAGAGGTCATAAAATCATAAAATTGTAGAGTTGAGATGGTTCTCAAGGGTCATCTAGTCCAAACCCCGCAATGCAGGAATCTCAGCTAAAGCATCCATGACAGATGGCCATCCAACCTCTGCTTGAAAACCTCCAAGGAAGGAGAGTCCACAACCTCACGAGGGAGACTGCTCCACTGTCAGACAGCTCTTACTAGAAAGAACAGTTCTTCATAGAAAGCCCAGAAGGGAACGAACGGGCACCATTTAGGAGGCATAAAAAGGGATCTCACAAATGTTCAAGTTCCTATGAGGTCCTGTTCCTGCCCCCTTCTCCAGCAGATGTTCTCCTAACATCATGGAGCCAGCTCAGAAATGTGCGGAGAGGGAAGATGGTGCTGCTGAAACTTAGCCTTCAAAGAGAAGAAGGGTGACCTTTCTGAGGGAGAAGTGAGGGTGGTTCAACTTTAACCAAGGTTGTTCTTCTGAGGGTTTATTTTAGCCCTTCTAGCAAAAGCACAGAGTGTGTTAATAGCTTACCGTGGATGAAGTTCCACTTCAGGTCTCTGGTTGCTGCAGAGTGCTGCAATTCACTGTATAACCCCAAATACAGAAGAGGAGTCTGATACTTGTGTAGCTACAGTATATCTGTTTGTGAAAGAAAACAAATACTTGTATTAGTTTCCTGGCAATGCACAAGAACAATAAATATTCTGTCTTTTCTTAACCGCATTTCATTTGACCTCCAGTCTGCATCTTCCTCTCCTATGTAGTTCACTCTCTGCCTTTTCAGACCCTCCAGGTGTCCCTATTTTCCAGGGACAGTCCTGGATTTACAGAAGCCGTCCCCATTTCGGATTTGATCCTGGAATGTCCTGCTTTTCCTTAGGATGTCCCTAAGAGATCCTGTTCCATCTGAGAAATGTTGGAGGGTATGCATTTGGTGTGTCAGATTGTGGTTTTCTGAACAATTACTGTGTCCCCTCTATGTGGAGGTCCCTCCTCCCTCAGAGACTTAAGGTTCCTTAAGTCCTTAAGATGTGAGACACCTGGTAAAGATGCTAACAAGTTGCAGGATTGGTTCCGTAAGGAAGTTAGATGCTTCTCCTCAGAACACCAGGGATGTGAGCAAACTGGGGCAGAAATATGGGAGCAATCTTCCAGCTGAGGGGTTTTTTCCCTGCCCTTTTCCTTCCCCACCCCCATGGAGATGCCAGGATTGCAGGATCTAAATGTTTCTCTCTCTCTGCCCCCTCAAGGCTCAGAGGGTCAGGGGAGCACTTCCAAGAAGGCAAGAGCCTCTGGAAAGTCACAGACAAATAAGTGTATCATCACCAATTCTCTCAGGAGTTTTTTCCATGAGGATTTGAAAGGCTCTAACGCCACCCCCACTCCCACATATTTTTCCTTCTAGGGGTAACTTATATATTTCATAAAATTCATATGTGCTTGGTTGTAAGAAAAAAATAACTCAAAGGAGGCTTTTACCATGGCAGTTTTAAATAAATAGATGAGATAAATAGATATATGATAGATAGATAGATAGATGATAGATGATAGATCGATAGATAGATGATAGATAGATAGATAGATAGATAGATAGATAGATAGATTATGATAGATAGATAGATGATAGATGATAGATGATAGATGATAGATGATACATATAGATAGATGATAGATAGATAGATGATAGATAGATAGATAGATGATAGATAGATAGAT